TCTTTACAAATTTATACATACATAAAATGCGCGTACATCTAGCATTGCTTGTATAAATTTTCTAATAGTTAGTTTGCTAAAAAAGTATTTTATTATGTCATCTTAATATTTAATTATTGGAAAAAATAGGTTAAATACTCAAATGTAAAAGAAATTTTGTATATATTATGGATTATAGATAGTGTGTATATACAATTTAGAAATAAGTCAAGATATAATTAAATAGTCTTTTAAATACCATATAGTTTAACTAAACTGCAAGTCTTGCTCGGTTTTTGCTGTTATTTTGCTATCATGTCGTGTTGCGCAGATCTTGCTTCATATTTGGCGTCAATTTGGTCTCAAATTATGTGCAAGCTTTGCTCGGTTTTTGCCAGCAATTTGCTGTTACGTTTTGTTAACAAGCTTGGATATATTTTTGCTAGCAATTTTGCAACATTGCCAGATAAAACAAACTCTGCATCATATTTGATGTCTTTCTGTTAACAAAATTTGTAACAAGCATTTGGCAAAATCTGTTTCGACAGATTTGGTTACCTGGGTACATACAGAGTGTTCGTAAAATTTTTTACACAGCCGAAGTATGGAGATAGATTGAGTCAAACTGAATAAGGAAAGTTATTTGCCACTTTGCAAAATTTGCAATAGTTAATGAGATACAAAGTAATAAATGTGTGCCAATAAGCGCGTGAGAAGCGATAGTCCTGATTCTGTAGGCGTAGGTGTGTGACTGTCAAAGCATCAAGAGGCGGAGTAAACAAACGAGCGCGATGTGTGACTCGGTTGATTTCGCGATCAGCCGATATTCGACGGTACGCAAAGGAGCAGCGCTCGAGGGATAAGAAGCCACTGCTCTCCGCGATCAGCGGACAATCACACACGTCTACAAAGTCAGAACTATCGCTTTTTACGCGCTCATTGGCACACAGTTATTACTTTGTATTTTATTAATTATATTGCGCATTTTACAATATGGCGAATAACTTTCCTTATTCAGTTTGACTCAATCTATCTCTATACTTTGGCTGTGTCAAAACTTTACGGACACTCTATATATTTCGCAAGAATCTATAAATTTTAAGAAATACTTTTTGAATGTATGGCAGGTTATAGTAAAAAAAATTACAAGACAAAAAAGATTTTGTCATGGTTGGATATTCCTTTAGAGCTATTCTCGCAATAGAACTTGCAACACGATTGGAAACTGTAGGCTTTAAAGGTCGGATAGTTCTTATCGATGGTGCACCTGATCACTTAGTGTTACTAAGCAAGCATTATATAAAATTGTATGTAGAATCTGCAGAAAGTAATGATGCAGAAATGCAAGTTTC